ACACTAAAATATGGCAAAATCTGGTTTGGATGGCAAAATTTGTTTTGGAACCACTTATAAGTTATAAGCCACCTAATTTTCACCACCTTTAAGATTTCCACGCAAAAGTGCCTTTATTTATTTATTATTTAAAAAAATTATATTCATATATTATTTGTAGCATTCATGTTTGGGTTAGCTGTAATAAAACCTACACAAACAATTTAAATTCGCTTTCAAAATTAGTTTCTACTTCCACATCAACTAAAAAAATATAATTTCGTTTATGAATAAAAAAGTTATTCTCTTTTCACCGATTATCATTTTCTAACAACATATAAATTATTTGTAAACATTAAAAATAGTGGATAAAAAGAAATGATAAGATAAGTTCTTACAGATTCATGAAAAAGATGGTTCTTATTTGATTCAACTATGAAAAATATGGGAAAAAAAATAGTAATAAATATGGCTCCATGAAAATCAAGTAAATCCATGGCAAGTGGAAAGCTGTACGACAGAAGTTCAATCTGCCAATGTCACAGGACGAAGATGTCGGCTTCAAAAATGTTCACGTTGTATAAACGTGCGAAAGTTACATTTTATCTGGCTTCTAAGAACCTCACATTATTGTTTTTTTTTTTTAAATTCAAAAACGTTTTAAAAATTTATTTTAAAGCAAATATTACATTTTCAAACTTATAATTCAAAGCACCCTTACCCTAGCTCATTGGACAAATTTATCATTAATATTGTTAAGAGTCTCACATTGTTAAAATAAGAAAGAACTTATGAGTTTATAAGGTCATATGTTAGACTAGTTAATTGGTTAGATTTAATTTTTTAGTATAGTTTGACGAATGTGGTGATGATCTTTTGTGGATCAACTATTTACGGGCTTATCTCTCACTTTAACATTAAAATTAAAAAACAAAATTCAAATTACATGAAATTATTTTTAAAAAATGAAATAAAAGAATTTGTTTTATATAAATGTTCAAATGAATTGCATTACATAAAATTATAAATTTTTGAAAAATAAGAATAATTTTTAAAAATTAAAAAAAAAATTGAATACATTTAAATTATTAAAATTATGATTAAATAAATTACATTCAAATACATTTAAAATTATTTTGAAACAATTTCAACTATATAAAAACTAAAAATTAAACAGAAAGACACACAATTATTTATGTAAAGTAAATATATAAATATAAATATAAATATAAATAAAATATATATATATATATATATATATATATATATATATATAAATTTAAAGTAAATAAACTTTATATAAATTAAAATTATATAATATGATAACTATAAAATAATAAAATATTTTTTTAAAAAAAAAAAGTTAAATTGAGCCTACCTTGCGAAATAGGCATTGTGATGCCACGCTTTATTGGTAGTTTACAAATTTAGCAAGCTTTCATTACTAAAATCACAATTTTATTGCATTAAAAAAAAAAAAAATCTTTTGTGGGTAATAACAATTCACACCCTTGAGAGGGATGCTTGTGGTGGAAATGGCGTAATGCTTTACCACTCAAGGCAAAATTTGTCGTGTAATATGAAGGTAGTAGCAATTTTGATTCGAATTATATGATTAAAACTGAATATTAGTTGCCCAAGTTACTGGTAATGACACTTATTTTTTTTTTTTTAAATTTAATTTAGGTTGGATTGCTAGCTGGAGCGATTTATTTGTTTTGTTTTATTGGAATTTGTCAATTATGAAAAATCTATACTGATTTATCTTATTGTTATCTTTTACCGGCTCACAATGTAAAATTTACCTCGTGCATAATATCAAATAATGGTTGTGGACACTAGTGACTAAAAAAAATTAGGTTCTGTTTGGTAAAAAATTGGCCTATAGGTCAATTTTGGCTTATTTGACAACTATTAATTGTTTGATTTAGTTACAATATCAATATAAATGTTTGGTTAATTAACTTTTGCATGGGCATCAACACACCTTCACGTCAATCTAATATCTGGGAACCGTCTGGTCAACATGAATGAACTTTGAATGTGGATGCAAGCGTTAAGCCAGCCACTCTACAAGCAGGCTACGGAGGTATCCTCAGGAAAGCGAATGGACATTGGATCCGGGGCTTTTGTGCTAAGTCCAAGCATGAAGACGCTACTGTTGTTGAAGCGGAGGCCATCTCTAATGGCCTTGCATGGGCATGGAAACTTGGAATCAGGGATGTTGAGGTACAATCTGATGCCAAGAGGGTTGTTCAATGGATCACTAACGATGCAGAGTTAAGGGGCCCAATCTGTGTCTATACAGATGATATCCGAGACTGGTTTATGAGAAACTGGAAATTATCAATCCGCAATATTGCCCGAGAACAAAACGAGAGCGCGGATGCTGCTGCCTTATTAGGAGCGAAAATGGACGCAAACTGGAGAGAGCTTGAACAGTGCCCTATTGGGATGGAAGAGCCCGTCGAGAGATATAGCATGCACGCCAGATGGCTGTGCAATGGGATCAGCTAAGCTACCCTGGGGTCCCCCCCTCCCTTTTGATCTAAAATTAACTTTTTGCAATTTCAAAAGGCTAAAATTCAAAAGGCTACTCTAATCAACTTTTTCAATTAGCTTTTTGAGAAAAGAAATTATACCAAACAGCTATCAGCTAACGGCTAATTTACCAAACACTTTTCTACAATCAGCTAATATTATCAACTATTTATACCCTCTAATTAACACAATCATCTAACAACTAACAGCTAACAGCTAACAGCTAACAGCTAACATCCATTTTACCAAACAGGCCTTAATATTTTCCTTAAAATCTTATAAAGGCTTTTAATTTTGAAAATATAAAATTCTAAGGCGACAAATGTAACTTTCGCAAATATCCACGAGAGAGAGAGAGAGTGCTGGCAGTGACATTTAATCCATTATGTGACATGAATTTCTTCATGATTCACACAGCAAATTCTTCACGTTGAAAATGCAGTACTTGTATGGTTGGTTGTATGCAACCTACAAAGATTCTTGCACAATTCTTATTACACCGACAATCTTTTTTTTTTTTTATTTTTTTTATTTTTTTTATTTTTTATTTTTAAGAGCAACTTAATTTATTGAATCCAAAGCAAGAACATCAAGACCGAAAGAAGGAGGGGTGATATATCACTCTTTCAGATCAGACAAAGAAACAACTTTCTTAGTAAAAGCATGGGCTGCCAGATTCGTAGACTTCCTAGTAAATTTGAAGCTCACATCACTAAATTGCATTGCAGTTTTTTTAATATAAAAAAAGGAAAATGACACTTTTCTCCCTGAGTTATATACTTATAACACTTTTTCCCCGTCAATTATATAGGTAAGCACATTAGCCTCCTCAATTATTCTAAAAGTGGTGATTTTTCCCCCTAATATATTAAATTGACATTTCTACCCTTAAAGTAAACATTTTATTTATTTTACTTCTCCAACAAATTATTGCGTATACGTAGGGATCACCACGGTCGGTTCGAACTGAACCAGACACTAGCAATCGAATTAAAAGTTTCCGGTTATGATTCAGATCTAGAACCCAATATTTGGATTTCAATTTATTAAATTTATGAATCAAAAAAATTGGATCCTAAACCGTGAATCGACAGTCCCGGATCCAATTCGCGATTTTGAACCATCTTTATTTTAAAATTTTATTTTTTATTTTAAAATAGTCTAACTTCAACAATAAATTTATTTTATTTTTTTTTTCAGTTCGGAACATGAACCGTCTGTTCCAATTCGCGATTTTGATAAACTCTAAATATCGAGTTTCGATTCTAAATTGTAATTGAAATATTTCAGTTTGGTTGCTATAGTGTTTGTTTGGTTTGAACCAAATTATGATCATAATTTGTTGGATATGAAAATATGTCCATTTAATATTTCAAGAAAAAAAACAGCCACTTAAATAATTAAAGGGAGAAAATTGCTATAAGTATATAACTCAGGAGAAAAAGTGTCATTCTCCCTATAAAAAATAATAATACCAAACTCTGAAAGAAAAATATCAATATGCAAAGTTGAATAAATTAATTGAACATCCATTTTAACGTCTACATGATCATAATTCATTTCCTTGACCAGCTCATATTAAAAATATAACTCGGGTTATAAAAACAGTATAAATTAGGGGTGTAAATGAGCCGAGCCGCTCGCGAGTCGCTGGTGAGCAGTTCGGTCAACGCTCGGCTCGAACTCGGTCAAAATCGAGCTCGGCTCGAGCTCGACAAGCTCGTGAATTAAACGAGCACGAGCCGAGTTTAGGTATTGTAGGCTCGCGGCTCGAAGAGCCGCTCGCGAGCCTTATAATATATTATATAATATATAATATATAATTATATTATATTATATTTAGTATATAAAAATAATAATTAGGGGAGGGAAATTAAAATACTTTAATAATTATGTATGGATAAAAGTCATAAAACAAAGTAGTTTAAATTTTAAATCAAACAGGTCAAATTTGAGATCAAAATTGAGCTCAAATTCGAGCCTAAACTTGAGCTCGAATTCGAGCCTGAACTCGAGCTCAAGTTCAGGCTCGAATTCGAGCTCGAGCTCGAGCTCGAGCAGCTTCACAATTGCCGAGCTCGAGCTCGAGCATCAATTCACGAGCTCGAGCTCGAGCAGTGCTATCATTAACGAGCACGAGCATGAGCCTACCCATGCTCGGGCTCGGCTCGGCTCGTTTACACCCCTAATATAAATCATTGTACGGTAAATGGTAATATATTTTGTAAATATATATAGAGCTGGATAACAGGTATATTGTACCTCATAATAGGTATTTACTATTGAAGTACAAAGCTCACATTAACGTTGAATGGTGCAACCAATCACAGTCAATCAAATACCTCTTCAAGTATGTCAACAAAGGTAATGACCGTGTCACAGCTGAGTTTTATAAGACCACAACAGATGATACTGGAAATGAAGTTGTAGATGAAATAAACATGTACTATGATTGCCGTTACATTTCATCTTGCGAAGCAATGTGGCGCTTATTCAGTTTTGAGGTTCAATACAGAACCCCACCTGTTGAGAGGTTAAGCTTTCACCTGTCGGATTGCCAATCAGTTGTTTTCCAAGATGATGATAGCGTTGACCGTGTTCTGAATAGAGAGACAGTTGCACAAAGTATGTTCAATGAATGGTTTGTAGCAAATCAAAAATACCCAGAAGCCAGGTTGTTAAGTTACATTGAGATGCCTACAAAATTTGTTTGGAAAAAGGACATTCGTGAATGGCATCCGAGAAAGAAAGGTTTCACCATTGGTCGCATATTCTATGTTCCACCAGCATCTGGTGAAATATATTATTTAAGGTGCTTATTGAATGTAGCCCGTGGTCCTACAAGTTTTAAAGATATTAGGACATATAATGGGGTTGAGTATACTACATCTAGGGATGCATGTTATGCTCACGGCCTGTTGGATGATGATAAAGCGTATATTGATGCTATAGTAGAAGCCAGTTATTGGTCTACTGCTCATTCAATGAGGAAATTGTTTGTTGTGCTATTAACCTCGAGTTCGATGATTAGGCCGGAAAATGTTTGGAATGAGGTGTGGCAACATTTGTCAGAGGATGCTCAACATTATCAAAGAAGAATACTACAACAATCAGGTTTGAACTATTCCACATATAGTTTGATTCACTTAGTAAAAATAATTTGTATTATTGAATTGTGACCTGTTTTTTATCAATTGGAACAGATTTGGTTTTAACAGATGAAGAGAAGAAAAATTTTGGATTAATTGAGTTGGAGAAATTGCTGGAACTACAGAATAGATCTTTAAAGGACTTCCCCCCGATGCCTATTCCAGACATTGTTAACACAAGATTGGTTCAAAACAGATTGGTGTTTGAAGAAGTATCTTATGATCGTGAGTTTTTACAACAAGAAGCTCAAGAGTTGTGTGCTAAGTTGACGGAAGAGCAGAGATCTATATATGACACCGTTTTAAAAGATATTTCAGGTAATCTGGGTGGATTATTTTTTGTGTATGGTTATGGTGGCACTGGCAAAACATTCTTATGGAGAGCATTGTCATCCACTTTACGAGGTAAAGGGAAAATTGTTTTAAATGTGGCATCAAGTGGTATAGCTTCATTGTTGTTACCTGGTGGACGAACTGCACACTCAAGGTTCACAATACCAATTGCAATAAATGAAGACTCAACATGTAACATTAAACCAGGGAGCCAGTTAGCTGATTTATTGACACAAACGAGTTTAATCATTTGGGATGAAGCGCCAATGATGCACAAACATTGTTTTGAAGTTCTAGATCGAACCATGAGGGATTTGTTGTGATTTGTAGACCCTCATAGTTCTAACAAGACATTTGGTGGTAAAACAGTAGTACTAGGTGGTGACTTCCGCCAAATTCTGCCAGTAGTCCCTAAAGGTACCAGACAAGATATTATATTTTCAGCTATAAATTCATCATATTTGTGGAACAGTTGCAAGGTACTGAGGCTCACGAAGAACTTGCGTCTGAATACTGTCAAAGACACGGTAGAACAACAAGATTCAGAACAATTTGCAGATTGGATAGCTTCTATTGGCGATGGGAAAATTGGTGGACCTAATGATGGTTATGCAGAAGTTGAAATACCCAATCATATGTTACTATCGTCAGATGGTGACCATATTGAAACCATTGTTAGAAGTACATTTCCTATGTTTGCCAATGGTAATTCTGATGCAAGTTATCTTCAAGGGCGTGTTATACTAGCACCTACACTGGACGTAGTGAACTCAGTGAATGAATATATGAGTGAGTTGCATACGGCTGAAAGTATAACATATTTTAGTTGTGACACAATATGCAAAGCTGATGCAAACGCTGGAATACTGGGTGATGTACACACACCGGAATTTTTGAACGGCATTAGAGCTTCAGGCGTACCAAACCATTCATTAACTTTAAAAATTGGCTCACCAGTCATGTTGTTAAGAAATGTCGATCATTCAGTTGGATTGTGTAATGGTACGCGGTTGGTAATCACCAAGTTAGCAGACCGTGTAATTGAAGCCGAGTTAATGGATGGTGCTAACAAAGGAACAAAAGTGTTGATCCCTAGAATGTCAATGTCACCATCTGATACCAGGTTGTCATTCAAGTTTCAACGAAAACAATTCCCATTGATGTTATCATATGCAATGACTATTAACAAAAGTCAAGGTCAAACATTATCACATGTATGATTGTTACTTAAAAAACCAGTTTTTGTGCATGGTCAGTTGTACGTGGCTGCTTCTCGAGTTAACAACCCAGGTGGTCTTAAAATATTGATTGCCAACAACTCAAATTCCTCTATTACATCAACAACCAACGTGGTATACCACGAAGTTTTCAATAATTTGTAATTTTGTCACTCTTATTTTTCTATATTGTATGTTAAAGTAATTTCTTTATTGTTTATATTTTTCATTTTATATTCCTGTTCTAACTTTTTATATATTACATCATCTCTTAAATTTTCCACACAATTACACAATAAGATGAACAATATTCATCCCGTGCATCACACGGGTATCATACTAGTATATTATATTTTGTGAAATATTTTAAAGATTTTTGAGAGGGAAGAGTTTGACCTAATTTATTAGTTTGACCTAATTTATTACCTAATTTATTTGTATATGGAATTGATGAGTATGGATAGGTGTCAAGTTGCAGAATTGGGAGTTGTAGCCAGTTAAGCTGAGTTACGACGCCGTAGGATATGACTCAATTCCGCGTCAATTGCAGCTGTGGGTCCCCCTCTATCCTTATTTTTCTTCCTATTTTTACGTCTATACACGTAGAGCTGACTCAGCTACTCATCCTGCTTGCCCACCGCTCTTATTACGCCCGCGCCTCACGCGCTTCTGGGTCGAGATATTTTTTCTTCCCAAATCCAATGGAAAAGAGCTACGGGAGTTCTTTTACACGCGCAGGGAGTATCGTGGGTGGCTACTAGTCACGTGTGTTGGTCTCTTTGGACGGATCTTCGGGGATTAAGTATAAACCAAGCTGGAATTCGAGATTTTCAGTTAAGGACTCCAAGAGATTTTCAGTTGAGGACTCCAAACTTTCCAATTATCAAGGAAGGACAATTTTTATCCCACTATAAATACCTTCCTTTTCAACCCCTCTCCCCACATCCACAAATCGTACATTCGTTTTGTATTATTCCTTCCCATTATTATTATTATTATTATTATTATTATTATTATTATTATTATTATTATTATATTATTTGCGAGTTGTAGGAAAATGACAATCCTCATCGATCAGCCTGATCATGGTATATTAAATTTTCTTGTTCTCATAGAAATTTTATTTAGCAGTATTTACGTGTTTTATAACGTTAAAGTTTGTTCCTCGTTATTAGGATTACTAGTCGAGGATAAGCCAATCCCTTTCGATGGGAATGAATTAATCCTAGACGGAGGATTTGGCGTGCCAGAAACATTGTCATCCAACAATGGTGGATTTGATGCTCCGGAAACCAATGCCTTTGGCCACTCATTTAGGTAAGATAGTTATATAGTCTGACCTACTATAATCAATTACTATCAAGAAAAAAAGTATTAGGTAAATCATATATTCTGATTCTAATCACAAATGATTAGAAAAATTTACGTAGGTGGCTCATAGCTGACTTATTTAAATCAATTAGGCTAATAAATTCTTTCACTAGGAATCTAATAGAAATATATATAATAGTTTGTTATGGTTTAACAGGGACTATGAGGCAGAAAGTGAGAGACAGGAGTCTGTGGAGGAGTTCTACAGGGTCCAACACATCAACCAAACCTATGACTTTGTAAGTGGTGGCAAAGCAAATTAAACAGGGTATTTTTTGGTAAGCTTAGGATGTAGGGTGACAAGGGAAATTAATTAACAAAGGAACAATATATATAATAATATATGTGTAGGTGAAGAGGATGAGAGAAGAAGTGTATGGGAAGTTGGATAAGGTGGAAATGAGCATATGGGAATGCTGCGAGCTATTGAATGATGTTGTGGATGACAGTGACCCTGACCTGGATGAGCCACAAATTGAGCACTTGCTCCAAACTGCTGAGGCTATCAGACAAGACTATCCTCATCAAGATTGGTTGCATTTGACTGCCCTCATTCATGGTACATACATAAACCCATCACTTTTTTTTTTTTTTTTTAAATCAAACTGTTCGACTTAATAACCACAATGTTACAAGTTCAACTCTCAATATGAGTAGCCTATTGGTCTTCCTGGGTTGAGCCCATCAACTGGAGCAACTAGGTTGATTTATTCCTTTTGTAATCCTTTGTGACAGGGTCCTGCTAGTTTAATTTATTTTATTGTGGTCCTTTGTCCGCTATAGTCGTAAAGATGTGGCGGGATTTTATAGATTATTTTTACTCCTATAAAAATGTCTACATCAATATTGTATTTTTCGATAGATAAATATCTATATGCTTATTATACTATACTGGCATATACTGCCAAATATCCCTGGATTCCTATATATTTTAGTGCCCTTTGTGTTTTGTAAACTTTAGGGTGTGGCAAGGATGTCAAATCAAGATTCATATGTGCCTATATTGATGAGAAAGATGGCACAATCTTTTCACCCTATATAATTTGTGGACCCTACACAATGATTATCCCAGACCCCTTTAACATATAAATTAAGATTTATATTTTATTTTGTGGTGAATATAATGATTAATTGAGGGTGCTTACAGATCTTGGAAAAGTCCTGCTTCATCCAAGTTTTGGAGGGCTTCCTCAATGGGCTGTTGTTGGTGACACATTCCCTGTTGGATGTGCTTTTGATGAATCCATTGTTCACCACAAGGTAAATTTAATTTTACTCTTACCTTCATAATTCTTCTAATTCCTAACCTTATTTATATTTGGATTACACAATACCTAATTACAATTTTAACAATATTAATAATATCAAGTACAATCATATTTAGCATACAAGCTAATTAGTATCCGGCCTTGACACCTTGTAGTATTATATGATACTAGATTTTAATGATGTCTATAGTATACAACCATGTATTCTATACCATACCAATTACTATTAATTAGCATCAACTAGGTATACCAGATTTTAGCCCACGGGCTTAACTCAATGGTTCAGTAGGTAATATTTGGGATAAGAGACTAATGTTTGAACCTCGGCAGTGGCTTATGTCCAAAGTGGGCGGATTCCTTCTGCGCCCTGTCATTTGGTATTGAGTCACCGTGATTTACATCCTCCCACATGCTCATCGGGATGTTGGGAATTTAACCTTTTGAGAGAAAATTGTATACTAGATTTTGACCTTATATAGTATACCCAATGATTATTACCCGCAGAAATAAGTATACTACATAGTTGTATACTAGTGTTGATCAACATCTTAAACAAACAAAACTTTAATTATATGGTTGTTATTTATTTTTTGTTTTACAGTACTTCAAGGAAAACCCAGATTTCAAAAATCCACTTTACAACACAAAGAATGGGGTATATGAGGAGAGATGTGGACTGGACAAAGTGCTAATGTCTTGGGGGCATGATGACTACATGTACTTGGTGGCCAAACAAAATGGATGTACATTACCTTCTGCTGCATTGTTCATCGTCCGCTACCACTCTTTCTACGGTAATTTTTTTTTTTTTTTTTTTTTTACTGGCTCTGATTGATTTTCTTATACATATTTCATAAAAATAATATGATTTTTTTGGGTTTCACAGCACTGCACAGGGCTGGGGCTTATACACACTTGATGAATGAGGAGGATGAGGAGAACATGAAGTGGCTCAAAATCTTTAAGTAAATTTATTTTCCATATTTCCTTTACTATTATTATAGTGAATATTTACGATGCCGATCAATACTAGGATATTTTGTGCCAGTACTAGAATACATGATACAATTCAAATATTTTATGTGATTATTTATGGTATAAAAAGATACTTGTGATGATCAGCACATAGAAATTTCCGTCTAATCATTTGTATTTTTTTTATTTAAATCACAGCAAATACGATCTATATAGCAAGAGTAAAGTTCGAGTAGATGTCGAGAAAGTCAAGCCGTATTACCTCTCACTTATTGAAAAGGTGAATATATATTTTTGCTTTTTTTTTTTTGGGAAAAATTATATTTTCTATAGTTATATGATTAATTGTGGTTCTTTTTTTTTTTTTTATTAAAATTTAAATGTTGCTGATTTGGATTTTTATTAAAATTATTTTATGGCAGTATTTTCCAGCAAAACTCAAGTGGTAATAAACGAGGCTGATGGAGAAATGAGGGTTAAATCAAGAGGGTACTATTGGGAATTAACTGTGAAAATTATTGTATCCATGTACAATAATGTTTATTTGCAGAATATTTTTTCCTTGTAATCTTATATTTCCATTCTTTTCTTCTTGCAAAATAATTGAAAAAATGTTGGATAATACCAAATATTTGCCGGATCTCATATCTCTATTTACAATTTTTTTTTCCCACTTGAAATAATGAAATATTTTATAATTTGATTATTACTTCTAAAATTAAGAGATACACACATAAGTAAATTATTTTAAATATTAATATAAATAAATTTTGGCATTCAAAAAAAAAAAAAAAAAAAAAAAAATTGAGTTGACATGACATGCCACAATATGTTAACGCGTCAACAATGAAATCATTATATGCCATAAAAATTAAGGTACATGATTTTAAAAGGGGTGATCAAATGAGTATAACTATAATTCTTGTATTAATGATCACGAGTTCTTGTCTGTAGACAATATAATATACAAGAATAGAATTTATTCAATACACATTTTAGGATAGCAGACCAACTCGAAAGCCCGCTAACTTGCTTAAGCCAAAAGTCTCAAGCCCTAACTCATCCCATTGCGAGATAGTTTAGGACTAGCCTGCAAACGACCAATCGTTAAACTCGCATCACGGTGCGCGCAACACTGTGCGTCCCCCAAAACGACGTTGTTTTAGGAGGTGCAGAAGGGAGTCGACGTGATTATGTGTATTTATTTATATCATATGTGAATTTGTTTATATAATTATGTGTATTTTTTAATACGGTTATGTGTTTGTTTATACAATTATGTGTATTTGTTTATACAATTATTTATATTTTTTATACAGTAATATAAAATGTCGTTTTGCATCAGAATGCACAATGCAATGCGCGCCCTGGTGCACGATATAAATTGCTGAATGGTCCTAAACTGATCCCTAACAAGGCTAACATGACCTCAAGTGTAGGACTGAGGTCTCAATGGAGAGATATGGGCTTTTGGTGTTTGTGCCTCATCCATCTTAGAACCACTAAGGGCCGAAAAAGCAGACGTTATGCCATGGAACCGTGTTCACCATTCATGGTGAACACGGTTCCAACGGTGTTAGTACATCGTTATCTTCTTCTTCTTCTTCTTCTTTTTTTTTTTTTTAAATTAATTGCGTGACTTTTCTTCTTTATTTTCACATTTTGTGGTTTCACTTTAATTTGAGGTGAACAAAAATTTCGGACATTCATAAATTATGAATTCATGCCTGCACATTCACTTTGGAACCATGCCTACACATTCTCGTCCGAAATCACGGACATTCATAAATTATGAATCCATGCCTGCACATTCACTTTGGAACCATGCCTACACATTCACTTTGGAACCATGCCTACACATTCACTTTGGAACCATGAGATTATGAATTTTCTCTTATAAGATTATGAATTTTCTGTTATGAGATTATGAATTTTTAGTTATGAGATTATGAATTTTCTGTTATGCGATTATGAATTTTCTGTTATGAGATTATGAATTTTCATTACATTCATAATTTCGGACATTCATAAATTATGAATTCATGCCTGCACATTCACTTTGGAACCATGTCTACATATTCCCGTCCGAAATCACGGACATTCATAAATTATGAATCCATGCCTGCACATTCACTTTGAAACCATGCCTACACATTCACTTTGGAACCATGAGATTATGAATTTTCTGTTATAAGATTATGAATTTTCTGTTATGAGATTATGAATTTTCAGTTGTGAGATTATGAATTTTCTGTTATGCGATTATGAATTTTCTGTTATGAGATTATGAATTTTCATAAAATTCATAATCTCATAACAGAAAATTCATAATTTGATCAAACGGCGCTGTTAACTCCACATCCGCGAAATTTTTTTTTTTTTGCCTAAAAACGACGTCATTTTGCCTTGTGTTCACCATTCTCGGTGAACACGATTCCATGGCATAATTTGCGCGAAAAAGAGGGATAGGCAAATGTCCTTATTCTCAACAAATATTAAACTAAATATTATGAAAAAAAAAATGAATCGTAAAAATCAAAATAAATAAATATATAATAAAGATATATACACATACATATATGTGTATATATAATAAAATTCTATATTTAATACATAAACAACGACCTTTTTATTTTTATTTTTCATTTTTTTTTAATTTTTGAATCTATAGTTCAAAAGTAGAAGAATAAAATGGTAATGAGTTTTGTAATTTCTAAAAGATTTGATTCAAATAATATATATATATATATATATATATATATATATATATATATATATTAAGGCAAGCAAACATGGTAATGAGTATCAAAACCTATAGTAAGATGTAAAATTTCCCAACCAAACACATCCTATGTATATATGCTATTGGCAGTTTGGCACCAATGATCCTGTAGTCTAGTGACACCAAGTTGTTTTTTTATATGGGAGATTGTGTGTTCGAGCCTCAGTTAAGACGGTATTGATTTTCTTTGTTTAGAAGGTTGAGAAAGTGTGATGGCAATTTGGTTTTTTGTTTTTGTTTTTTTTTTTTGTTTTTTTGTTTTTTGTTTTTTGTTTTTTGTTTTTTTTTTTTTTGTTTTTTTTTTTTTTTTTTGCATTTTGGTCTAATTTAAGGTACATGGTTTTTGTACTGTGTGGTTTAAGGTGTGTCAGATATTAGAAAACTTAAGTGTGTCGATCTAAAGCTTTAGGTGCGTGGTTTATGTGTTTAAGGTGCGTCAGTTGTTGAAACTTAAGGTGCGTTGACTTAAAGCTTTAGGTGCGTGGTTTTCCTTCTTAAGGTGCGTGATTTGTATGCTTAAGGTGCGTCTATTGTTGAAATTTAAGGTGCATCATTTTAAAACTTTATATATGTACACACACAAATAAGAGCTAATAAAGTTATGCCTATAACAGGAACTAAAAAAATGTCTGTTAAATTATTTGATCGTAACTCTCTTGTGGGGGAGAATTCTGAGATAACCCGGGTTCCATTCCAACTAGTGACGATCTCTCTTGGGCCAGCTCCCGTGCTTCCAGAGCGAACAAGGATTAGTCGGGTGGACATGGACCACTCGTAGTTTACACCAAAAAATAATCCCACATTACGTTATTATAAACTTTAGTAACCGAATATTCCATTAACTATTTATTATTTTTAACTTACTCATTGATTTATATAAGAAAAGTCTTAGGTCTGAACCCCATCACAATCAAAGTTGGCATAATTGTTAAACATATATTACGAATATATAAGAATGTATTAAAAAATATAATATAAAATTTAACATAAATTTGATCAAATAATTAGCCCGACTCAATACATAGCATTCAAAGTTGAGCATCAAAGATTATAAATAAGTAATATTGAAAATTTTACTGCATAATAATAATAATAAAAATTATAGTATTAAATTAAAACACTCAGTATGGAACTAGTTATGGATTAAAGGCAAAATAAGCATCATTATTGACAACAATTACACTCAGTATTCGGACTACTTGTACAATCATTGTTATCAAGTAAACAAGTTACAGAACTAGAACAAGAGATACTACTCATTAACCTTCTACAAATATAATGAAAGTTAATACATCCAATGGTCCTCGAGTATTAGCCATATACCAGTTGTGGTCATTCGACTTTTTAAACGACCACGAGACGTCCTTTATCTTTTCAAGAATAACCACATGTTGTTCTCCCGTTAAGTTTAATTTGGTGTCAAAAGGGTGTTAAATGTGAGGGTAATGTTGTCTTTTCACCTAGTTGCAGAGCTCTTTTATGCATCTTCTTCTTAAATTTTTGTTTGCTAGTGCTTGGAGCTCCAGAATAATTCCTTACCCCAAACGCATCATCAATTGGGTTCTTAGACGGGGTGGCACTGTCAAGCTACGTCGGTGTTTCTTGGTTTTAGCAAAGCTTGGCAGTTCAGCGGCTTCATTCTCTTCCGGCGAAGCTTGTGGGAGTGTGTGGTGGTTGGCCCTTCACCAGTAGGCTTCGACGTTGGCGACGGGTTAAACCTCCAACAGTGGCGTGTTCCTCGGTTCGATGTAAGCTAATTAGGATACATTACTGTGTAAAACGAGAGCGAGGCTGCCATGAAGGAGATACTAAAGAACAAGGGGCAAACCATGGGAGGTATTAACTCAATATAATAAATATTAATATTTTGTTCAATACTTTCAAATGAGAATCTATGACACATATCTCACAACATATGAAACATGTAGGGGAGAAAATTTGCAATTGCGAAATATTAATAGGCGCTTACAATATCAAGAGTTCATAATACAACTCAGACGCTAGCGTTATATAAAATTACAAATATCTATTTGAGTAAAAAATTATAATTAATTTCTCATATATTATATTGCATTCATATACTTTGAATTATCAATTTAAATAAATAAACTTAACATTTAATTACTTATGCATGAACATTTTTTATTATATAATTATGCATTAACTTATTTAAAAATAAACATTGGACATTATCTTTTAAAAACTAGTTTTATAAAATGTATTCGAATGTGATGGTTGTGAGTAGTTATGCTGTGCATCCGTATGCACCATGTATGGTGCATACGTTGCAAAAACGACGTCGTTTTATTAAAAACGCGCGTCTCTCCTTAAAAAAAATTCAGGTTCGATTCCCAGCAACAACATTATGTTGTTCATTCATTCTGGAATTTTAATTCATAGATTATGGAATTTTAGTTAATTGATTATGGAATTATAGTTCATCGATTCTGGAATTGTAGTTCATCGATTCTGAAATTTTAGTCCATAGATTCTGGAATTTTAGTTCATTCATTCTGGAATTTTTAGTTCATAGATTAGATTCTGAAATTTTAGTTCATAGATTTTGGAATTATAGTTCATCGATTCTGGAATTTTAGTTCATTGATTCTGGAATTTTAGTTCATATGTTGTTGCTGAGAATTGAACTTGAATGTTTTTTTTAAAGGGGAGACGCGCGTTTTTAATAAAACGACGTCTTTTTTGCATCCTTATGCCCTATGCAAGGGGCACAACATAATTTGCCGGTGGTTGGAACTTGGAGTGTTGGATAATCGGAGAGTTTAAGGAAAGCGCAAAAAAGAGTCAAACGGATATACTTAGGGGTGGGCCCCACGATATCTGTGATATGAGAGCGGGCCCACATTGCGTCACATTTTCCATGCTGAGGCAGCCTACTCTGTCCCCGAACTCGTCGCGCTTTCTTTCCAAAAATTTTGTCAGCTCGGCTCTCTCCATTCGTTCATTCCTTGTTTCCTCCCTCACAAATTCGCCTAACATGAATTTTTATTTTTATATATTAATAATATAATCTGAATTTTGCGCATTTTCTAACTTTCCTTTTTTGCGTTTCCGTTTCTGATGAGTTTTCCAGATGGGGAAACCATGGATTCGAATTTTAGTTATACACATTTTCGTCTTCGATCTCTTGATTCTCCGCTCCGCGTTCGGTTCCTTGTCCGATTTCTCGATAATTGACAACGACTACTCGGATCTCTCCCACGGAGATTACTCGCCGCCGGCGCCACCGCCGCCGTCTCCTCCGCCGCACCCGCCTCCCCTCTCGTGCGATGCCTTGGAGGGAATCGGGTCTGTGAACACCACGTGCGAGCTCAATTACAGCTTGAACTTCACGGGGGACGTGTACGTTGAGGGGACTGGGAATTTCTTCATTCTCGAGGGCGTGGTTTTGAGTTGCCCTATTTTCGGGTGTTCCATTCAGGTTAACATCACGGGGGAATTTAGGTTGAACGCCAACGCTCGTATTATAGCTGGATCGGTGTATATAGTTTCCGGGAACACCACTTTGTTGGGTGGTTCGTTGATCAATGTGACTGCATTGGCTGGTGACCCGCCGGGGAATTCCAGGGGGACGCCCAAGGAGTACGAGGGTGGGGGTGCGGGTCATGGGGGTAGAGGGGCTAGTTGTTTGATGGATATTACGAAACTTCCGGAGGATGTGTGGGGAGGGGATGCATATTCGTGGAGGTCACTAAACCAGCCCTTTAGCTTTGGGAGTAAAGGGGGGAGCACGAATAGGGGTGATAATTATGGAGGGATAGGGGGTGGGAGGATATGGCTGGAGTCAACACACGTTGTGGATGCTCAGGGTTCGCTTTTGGCTGATGGTGGATATGGTGGGATCAAAGGAGGAGGTGGGTCAGGGGGGAGTATTTTCATCAAGTCCAAGAAAATGTAATGTAATTCAAACCTAAGTTATACTCAGTTGCTATATGAGGTTATTATTATTGTTATAACTTATAATTTATCTTTCCAAACAAGAGGAATAGAGAAAGCATGCTGCTTTGGTACTGAAAAAGGGAGTTTCAAAATAACCTTTGTTTTTTTTGTCAGGGAATAACCTTTGTTTAGAACTTAAGTTTCTTATTGAAGATCACAAATTAGAAAAAAAAAAAAAAAAACATATATCAATTTAGAGAGACTTAGTTTATTTGATGATTAAACATCTGTCAGTTAGTATGAAGTGGGAGTGAAAGAAGAATAAGAGAATCAACTGGGAGCCATATAGAGTCTCAGAATCCTTGCTCCCTCAGGGAATATCAGTGGAAGAACCTTTTGAGGGGAAAATCAAGAGAATTAAAGTTTAAGCCTATTTTTTCTACGGAATGAAAGCATATTCTTGGTGACTATTGGAGATGAATTGTTTCTTGGATATATCTGGGTTGTACTATCTTAAGAATTTCATTCTCTTTCTTTATTCATGGGTGAGGGGTTGGGATCACATTGTCTTGATGCTCTATATTCCCAATTATCCCTGAATAAGTCACTTTGTGAGCTTCAATGTTTTCTCTTCCTCTCTTGCCTTCATAGGATTTCTTCATTAACTACTTGTAAAAAAGGATTTCCATGTATTTATTGTCTCTCTATGGTGTTATTCTATCTTTCCATTTTATTTGATACATTTCCAATTTTGGTATTAGTTAAAAGCACCATCAGTTTAGAATTTTTATTTATTTATTATAAAATAGTCTTTGAAAGTGTAGCTACTGATCGTTCTTTTTGAGCAGGACAGGAAGTGGTAGAATAAGTGCTTCTGGGGGCATTGGATTTGGTGGAGGAGGTGGTGGAAGAATTTCTGTAAATTCATTTAGCAGGCATGATGACCCCATATTCTTTCTTCATGGTAGGAGTGCAAGGCCAATTGTCAACATTTTTATTCCTCAAAAAGCAACTCCCTCAAGCTTTCTGTCTCTAATCACCAAAAATGTTTTGTTCATGATCTGTGTACATGTTAGGCTATTTGTATTGAGTTTAAAAACCACAATTTTGCAATGTTGCTCACTAGATTTTATGGCTGTATTTGTGGATATGACATATGTGACCAATTTGACATATAGATAATCTTGGCTATGCAAACCCATAAAAATCCTTTAATGTGGAAGTGCATTGTGTTATTTATTATTTCTCCTGCTGTTTTGGCTAGGACATATTTCCAGATTCTTCTGAGGATATGGAATCACCTATGCCTCTCATGTGGGTCTAACTTATTTTCTTGCCATCCTTTGTAGCTAGTGAATATGTTTTTAGTGGATTAACTTCCAAGATTTGCTGCAACATTGTGAAGCAACTTTTCATTAGGACTTCTGTTTATACTTTTCTTGCTTTGGCTTGTTCTTCGCTTGTTGCAGACCTTTTTTTTCTTCAATATATGTTTCTTTCTAATAAATTTTGTAGTATTACAAAGCCGGAAAGTAGCTTAATTTGAGAATATTGGTCAGGGGTGTGTTGCTTTTGTTGAGACCCAGGACTTTGTTGATCTGATTGCACTGCTTTGGGAGAAAGGCATTGCTTTATTCTATTTTATCTTTCTATATTTGCAGGGGGAATAAGTTTGGGCTGTCCTGCAAACTCAGGTGCGGCAGGGACATACTATGATGCTGTCCCACGAAGACTAGTAATCAACAATCACAACATGTCGACAGACACTGATACCATTCTCTTAGATTTTCCTAACCACCCACTCTGGACAAATGTTTATATCCAAAATCATGCCCGAGCCACTGTTCCTCTACTTTGGAGTCGTGTCCAGGTTATTGAATTTATTTCTTATTGTTCAGGAGGCACATTTCCTTCATCATTCTAGATATACACTACTAATCTAGTATTGCTCTATTTAATTAAAGACTTAAAATTTCCTTTGATGTTGCATATGAGAACCAGATGGGGAAATATGTTGATGATGAAGCTATGTGTCAGTCTACAACTGAGGATTCAAATTTGTTTGTTTGTTTGTTTGTTTTTTTTTTTTTTTTTTTTTTTTTTTTTTTTTTTTTTTTTTTGTTTTTTTGTTTTTTTGGTTCTGATTTGACCAGATACATTCAGTAGTGGAAAAATTGGTTTTGTTTTTGTAACAGTGAGCCTAAATCTAAGTTCAACATAGTCTTACTGAAATCACCAAAACAGAAGGATTTTGGGTTTTTAGGTTATTTTTGGGGCATAATAAACAATTTTGTCACAATTATCACTTTTAACAACTAGGAAGATACGTGTGGTTTTTATGATATTAAACGTGTCACTTACAGATATCTATGAAAAGCTTAGCATGCTTGTCATTGCTTCAGGAATTAATTGTGATTATTTTTGTGCTGTTACATAAATACATAATGCATCATATAGGCTTATTTAAAAGCCTTCCGATCTATAGAATGCTGCTACATAAGGCAAATATTCTCTTCAATGTTGCAGGATATGGCTTTTAAATGATTTCTTGAAACTGCCAAACCTCCAGCTAGGTTGATTAGAAATGTATTTTTAGTCTGCTTGAATCTTTTAATACTTAATCTTAACCTTGTCCTTGTAAGCTCATTTGGAAGTTGAAACTTGAAACTACAAAAAAATTTATACCATAAGGTTCGCCATCAAGCACACTTTCCTGCTCATTGAATACCATTTCTGTTCCATGATATCATACTCTTAGCAGGCTACTTCTATACCTATATTTTAAGAATCTGCTGGGCTATTGACTATTTTTCATCAATCATGGCAGTTTAAGCTTTTAGCGTGGTGTTCATATACTATTTACAGGTTCGAGGACAGCTTAGCTTATCAAGTGGTTCTGTTTTAACTTTTGGGCTTGTGCATTATGCCTTATCGGAATTTGAATTGATGGCAGAAGAGCTATTGATGAGTGACTCAATAATTAAGGTGAGTCTTTTTATTTTTCAATGTACTTTTATTTGCTTTAATTTCTTTTGTTCTCTTACATTTCTCAGTTATGACAACATATTAAAGTTCATTACTAGAATCTGTCAACATGTTTTGGATGTTAGACTCTGTAGCTAGAGTTTTTTTACTGGGCCTATGAGAATACAATTGAATTATTATTCATACCAGCTGAATAAGGGTGGCCATCTTAATTTTAATCTGTCCTAATGCAAGTCTTTTGTCCAACCTTGATTATTTTATCCCAAGTTGAGATATGGCTTACTTGGACTCTTTACTTTCACCCTAACTTAATGCCATTTGACACTTCTCAAACAAACATGGTTTGATATAGATCCTCAACAAAGCATATATGACTTATATTGTCTTATAAAGAAGCACTGATGTTGAACTTCTTTCAATAACCACAAAATGGAGCAACATTCTTCTTTCTTTATTACATATTTTTAAACTTCCTTATTTTTGGTGGTAAGATATGTTTTTATTACACCTGTCATTTTTAGATCCGTGGGGCTTTGCGGATGTCTGTGAAAATCTACTTGATGTTGAATTCCAAAATGCTTATAGATGGTGAAGGTGATGCAAATGTTGCAACATCTTTACTTGAGGCTAGCAATTTAGTGGTTCTAAAGGTATATAATACTTTGCATCCTTCTTATCGTTTAGTCTTTTTGATTTTGGATATTTGCTATTTTTAATCACATTTGTGAATCAACAATGCTCAGGGTTCATCCATTATACATTCAAATGCAAACTTGGGAGTTCATGGACAAGGTTCATTGAACTTATCTGGACCTGGAGATCTGATTGAGGCTCAACATTTGGTTTTATCACTGTTTTACAGTATAAATGTAAGACTCAGAAATTTAAACATGCCAATTGTTGAAGCTTGATATCTGTCACCATTTACAGCATATGTGTAAGGATCAGAAATTGGTTTTATCACTGTTTTACAGTATAAATGTAAGACTCAGAAATTTAACATGCAAGTCTTTTGTCCAACCTTGATTACTTAAACACCACTTCTTTACTTTGTGAGTTTGTTTGGCTGCCTTTCCAACCAGCATAAGAATAGTTTACCATTCTAATCTCTGTAAAACTTCGGTATAGAATATAGAATTCCTTTGTGTGTGTGTGTGAAAAGTGTGTATGTGAATTAGCATTGAGTAGGCAAATTTTCTAATTTAATTAATGATTATAAAATTGTGTACACTTGGTAAGGAAAGCAATGCATATTTGAGTTTCTCTGATAGAGTGATAGGTTGAAGAATGTGAATGAGAACTATTGCTTTTGTGACAGTTGAAAGGAGAAATAATTCATAGGACGAGAGAAGGAAAGTATTTGAGAAACGTTTTTAGATCTTGTTGTCAGTATTCCGAAATGCATTCACAGTCCAATAATAAAATAGACAAAAAATTAATGCAATTATCTGCTTGATGTTGCCCCTTACTCTACCATAATTGCTAATTAAAAGGATGTATATTCCCTTCTCTATCATATTTGGACTTGGCTGGGGACACATGGGAAGGGAATGACTTTTCAAAACCGATACTTGTTCATTGAATGCTATTAGTTCGAAACACTGATTTTTTGAAATTTCTTTGCCCCTTCTTGTCAAGCTCAATCACCTGCTTATGATGTGGATTGTCTATTTCTTTGTGAAGGTTGGGCCAGGGTCCATTTTGCGAGGTCCATTAGATAATACAAGCATCAATCACATGTAAGTGTTGTGATGCTTCATCTTCCATGTTATGTACTGCAACTATTCTTTTTAACTAATTAACTTCCATTAAAGTAGTGCACCACAGCTCTGCGGAGAACTCCAATATTGCCCCATTGAGTTGCTTCACCCACCTGAAGATTGCAATGTTAATGGTTCATTATCCTTTACCCTTCAGGTTTGCTTCTAACCATGGCCGTTCTATTAAAAATAGGGGCCTTGAGAGGCAAGATATATAATTCTGAAAGACCTCTGAAAGATCTTATAACTGAGGTAATTGAGTCCAAATCTATTTGGACTTCAAGTTATTGTATTCTATAACAAAAAAAAAAGTACTCCGTAATAAATTATTTTGTCCAAATATAATGCATAAAATTTCAACAAAGAAAAAAATACAATTCAAAATTTAATTTAAAAGTGACATTTTTCGTGCATATTTAAATACAAAATTATTCACCAAAATTTGAATGCCAATTCATTCTAAAATTTTATTTTCAATTACAATTTAGACCAATCTATGGATTCTAAAAACATAATTATCAAGTATAAAAATAATGACTTTATATATAAAATAAAATATTTCTTTTTAAAATTTTTGGAGGCCCTGTGCCGTCACCCTGCTTCTAACAATCAGGTTCCACACTTAAGAGTTTCCTAAATTTGGACTTCCTTATATTACCAAGTAGCATTGTGTTTAAATTGCTCTGTGTGTTCACATTTAATGTATGACCTGTGTTACTTGTCAAGATATGCCGTGTTGAAGATGTATTTATTGAAGGCTTTTTAGAAGGGTCCGTAATTCATTTTCACTGGGTTAGAGCAGTTCTCGTAAAGTCTTCTGGAACAATAAGTGCTTCTGGTCTAGGTACTTCTTTTGTTTATCTTCTATTTAATGTTTGTCTAATTGAAAAAAAAGTGTATATGTAACATGATGAGCATCAAGTGCCTGCCAGTACTCGAGTTATTGGGCTAAATCATGCTTCTGGATATACATGCAGGTTGCAGTGGTGGGTTGGGCAGTGGTGAGCTCTTGCCTAGTGGTCTTAGTGGTGGTGCTGGACATGGTGGCAGAGGTGGTGATGCTTATTACAATGGCACGTATATGGGGGGTGGTCTTACTTATGGTGATGCTGATTTGCCATGTGAACTTGGTAGTGGAAGTGGAAATTGGAGTCTGCCAAGTGCTACTGCTGGGGGTGGCATTCTTGGTGAGCTCTCAAATGATGTCTCTAATCTATGCACTGTGGAGCAGCTTTATTTTATATTGTTTTGTTTTTTTAAAACAACTATGGAGCAGTTGTTATTTTTTAAAGATAATTTTGCTTTACTTTACTCTTTATCTTGTACCAAGAAATTTTCACACCGAGTCACTGAGGCTACTATACTTCAATTGTTCAAACTATGGAGAGGAGTTGATAGCCCCTGGAACATATTCCACTGCATCCACAAAAGGAGAAGCAGGCTTGTTATTCTGTAGTTTTAGTTCATCTGGAAATTTATCCATTTATAGATTTTGATACAACAAACTCCATAATGAAGTAATGAACAATAAAAGATAAACACCTAACATGTAGTGATAGCCTTGTTTTTAATACTTGAGACAAAAAAAATCAGTGACGTACTTTGAATAAATATTCTACATATATTTTATGAAGTGAAGGACTTTATAGCCATTCACCCTTGAGAAATTGTATTAAATTTCATTCTGTGTTCAGTGCCATTTTGGATCTTTAAGAAGCACAATGAACTGAGTGATTTGGGCACTTTAGATATAATTTTTTTTTTTAGTTTCTTGCGTAGCGTTCTGTCATCTTTATCATTATTGAATAAAAGGTGCATTTTTCTCATTAGAAAAATACATAGATAAGGCTACTCTGATACATTTTAATAATCTTTCTTGCAACAGTTATGGGTTCATTGGATCATTCTCTGTCGAGCTTGACGGTCTATGGTTCAATTCAAGCCAATGGAGAAAGCTTTGGAAAGTTTATCAGAGAGGATGGGAGTAAGGTTGCTTCAGAACCAGGTCCTGGGGGTGGATCTGGAGGAACAATTCTTCTGTTCATTCACTCTTTGTTCCTTGGTGATTCTTCTACTATCTCAGCTGTTGGAGGTCATGGTAGTACTAATGGTGGTGGTGGAGGTGGAGGGAGAATTCACTTTCATTGGTCAGACATTTCTGTTGGAGATGAGTATGTGGCTATAGCAAATGTGAAAGGAACTATTCTGGAGAGGTTTGCAACTACCATATAAAACTTGAGTGGATTATTTGATTTCTTTTCTGTGCTCTTTTAAGTCTGAAGACGATTCGGTAATAAGAATAGAGTTAATACCCAAAATCGTCCTCGACTATAGTGGTTTTTCTCAATTTCGTCCTAAACGACTTTGGTGACCTAATATCGTCCCAGACTTTTGTGTTTTGCTCAATTTAGTCCCAGACTTTTGTGTTTTTGCTCAATTTAGTCCCTCATTTGTTATTCTGTCCATTTGGTGTTAAATAAATAGACAATTCCGTAATTTTAATGTTGGCATCTCTTTACTCATAGACATGTGAACTGCAAAATCTTTTTTTTTTTTACGAATTACTCCCAGAATTACTCCTAAAACTGCGAATATAAAATTTGATTTGCAGGTCCGGGAGTAATTCTGGGTGTAATTCGTACAAGAAAGATGAATTTCGCACTTCACAAGTTGAAAGTAAAGAGAGATCAATATTGACATTACTGAATTGTCCCTTTATTTAACACCAATTTGACGGAATAACAAATGGAGGACTAAATTGAGCGAAACACAAAAGTCTGGGACGATATTAGGTCACCAAAGTCGTTTAGGACGAAATTGAGAAAAACCACTATAGTCGAGGACGATTTTGGGTATTAACTCAATAAGAATATATTCATACAGAATAGAGGGTGTCAAATAGTTTATCTTTTAGTTTCTTGTGATGTTTATTTTTTCCCCCTCATTTTATATTCTATTATCGATACCACAGAGGAGGAGTTGGTAGAGATCTTGGGAAAGAAGGAGAAAATGGAACTATTAGTGGTAAAGCCTGCCCAAAAGGGCTTTATGGAATATTCTGTCAGGTAAGTTACAATTTCCAATTGTATTTCTATTGTGAATATTGTCTAGGACTTATGTTGTATACCTGAAGATTTACACTAGATAGATGTTAATTTCATCATACTAAAAATCTAAAATACACTTGATGTATATAGTGGGCGAAATTGAATTTTAGGGTTGGACACTCTGTTAGTTTATTTAGCTTTTTAATGCTGCCATTAGACTAGATTGGTAATTGATTGTATCATATTTTGTCTGGCGATAGATGATTCACACCTCAAAAGTAGGTAACTTACATAATACAGAGTATATTTATTGGAGGACCATGTCTTGCTCAATTGATTGTATTTGGTTTGTAATACTCGTATCAATTAATGTGATAATGCATTGATTTTTATAGACCATATCAAGTTTATCCTATTTTAGCAGCCCAAATGAAATTACTGATTATTTCAACAACCCAAGTGACATTACAGTTTGTATTGCAATTACTTTCCTATCTTCTACAATAGAAATGAACTGACAATTTAGTAGTATTATTATAATAATAATAATAATAATAATAATAATAATAATAATAATATATCTTCAAAATGGCTAATAGTAAATGTGTAGTAAAGGAAGGGTAAATGTTTTTAAGCTTAAATATGAAATGGACTGTTTAAACGACAGTTTATGTTTCTTTTCCTGTCAAATGGTTGTCTTATCAACTAGTTTCAAACTTTCCAGTATATGTCATATAAAGTGATATGAGTATTTGACCTGCACCTTTTAACATAAACCCAAAATTGTTAACTATGTTGATGCCATCTTTCTGTCAAATAAAAATTTGTTGCCTGTTGTGCCAAAACTGTGGATTTTTTTGTTTTTTGTTTTAAAAAAAACTTTCATCTCATAAAGTTTATTATATAATATCTTCATATGTGTGTGAATGCAATAATGCAGGAATGCCCACTTGGAACATACAAGAATGTAAGTGGAGCTGATAGAGCCCTTTGTCGTAAGTGTGAATCTCGCGATCTTCTGCATCGTGCAGTGTATGTTGCTGTTCGAGGTATTTCTTTTTTATGATTGTTAGTATGATTATGCACCCTATTTTTCTGATTTCTTGTGTTTAGTAGTTGTTCATTAGTTAGTTTCATAAATACTAGTTGTTCTTGATGATTGCACTTTCAAATGTTAACTTTTTGGGATGTTGCCTACATTTTACAGGTGGTGTAACTGACACTCCCTGTCCATACAAGTGCATTTCAGATAGATATCACATGCCACATTGTTTTACGGCACTTGAAGAGTTGATTTATACATTTGGGGGCCCATGGCTGTTTGGTTTAATTCTTTTTAGTCTCCTTGTCCTGTTAGCTCTGGTTCTTAGTGTTGCTCGTGTGAAATTTGTTACTGCTGATGAACTACCTGGCCCACTGGCTGCTCGCCGTGGATCTCCAATTGACCGCTCATTCCCATTCTTGGAGTCACTGAATGAGGTAGTGTTTTCCAAGTACTTTGTTATTTTCAATAGTATGAAGTTTTCATTATAAAGAAACCCCTTAGTCAAGATTTGATTGTTTATGGTACTTCTGTCCTTTTTAAGAATTATAAATATGATTTTGTTTAATTTAGGTGTTGGAAACAAGTAGAACTGAGGAATCCAGTACACATGTGCACAGAATGTATCTTTTGGGTGCTAACACTTTCAGTGATCCTTGGCATCTTCCTCATTCTCCTCCCAAAGAAGTTTCAAAAATTGTGTATGTTTTCTCTTGCTGCATGACTAATAAATTTCTCTCTTCCTCTTAAAGGGAACTTTAAAAAGTACTCCCTTTGTCCCATTTTATGCATCTAGTTTGGTTAACGAGGCTTGACTGAAATTATTTACAATTTAATTTTTCATAATATTAAGTTTAGAATTAACATATAAGTTTTATATATTTAGAAAATATATTAAAAGCACTATTAAACACAAAAAATCAAATTAAAAATAATAAGAAAATACTAAAGAAAATAAGCAAAGAAGAAAGAGTCAGTTTGACCAATGAATAGTAAACATGACAGGTTAAATGGGATAGAGGAAGTAACTTTATTTGTGTTGTTAATGTTGTCAAGAAGATGGAATTTTTGACATGCCAAATTGAAATAAAAGGATATTTCATTAAGTAGTTTGTGGATATATTTTAACCATATCTTCTTGTATCTTTATCGAATACCACAGGTATGAGGACGCATTCAACATATTTGTGGATGAGATTAATGATTTGGCTTCTTATGAGTGGTGGGAAGGATCAATCTATAGCATCCTTTCTATTTTTGGGTACCCACTTGCATGGTCATGGCTGCAGTGGCGTCGGAAGAAGAAAATACAACGCCTTCGTGACTTTGTTCGGTCAGAATATGACCATGCTTGCCTGCGGTCCTGCCGTTCGCGTGCACTCTATGAGGGTCTCAAGGTTCTTACCTCATCAAATTTGTTTTTAGTTGATGCATGTGTTGCCAGTGTTGGGCCATTTTTAGTCTAGAACATTTTCAAAAAACTTATCTTCCTGGTTATATTTTTCTCAACATGCATATATGAAGATTTAAATGGCTAGAAAATTTCATAAGATTTTTATAAATAAAATTAGGAGCACTATTTGTACCAGTTTATGGTAAGACATAATACATAAATCTGTTGTTTCACTCCTCAATCTTATCTGGGCAACACCTAGGCATTCTTAAACCTATATCCCTATTGCCTGGGTGTGCCTTGACTTTTTTGTCTAGCTTGTGGAAAATTTTATTCGTATTGTGCTGCCGTTGAACTTTTTAATTGACCTGACCTCTGTTTATATCTTTTATTCTGAAAATTCAGTATGCTGCACTGATTGATAGGGAATTAACATCGGATTCTCCCAATACCATCCCCACTATGATCCAACATTCCAACCTATTGTCTTTATAACATTAAAAAAATCGGTGTTCATAATGTATTATTTCCTTGTTATAGGTAGCAGCTACTTCAGATCTTATGCTTACATATATAGACTTCTTCCTTGGTGGAGATGAGAAAAGAGAGGACTTGCCTCCTCGCCTTCATCAACGGTTTCCAATGTCTATAGTCTTTGGAGGAAATGGATCATACATTGCTCCTTTTTATCTCCACAGTGATAACATACTGACTAGCCTTATGAGTCAGGTTTGCATAAGAATATCACATGCTTTGGACTTTCTGGGACTTAATTTCCCATGTCTTCATTTCTAAAGATTTGTCATTACCATTGCTCTTTTACTAAATTGCAGTCAGTTCCACCTACAATGTGGTACCGTCTAGTGGCTGGTTTGAATGCTCGACTTCGTTTAGTTCGCCGTGGGCATCTAACAGCCACATTTTCCCAAATTGTTAACTGGCTTGAGACCCATGCAAATCCGTGTTTGCATGCCCATGGAATACACATTGATCTAACTCGCTTTCAGCCTTCATCCTGTGGTTATCATCAATTTGGACTTCTGGTATGTGCTGTGGAAAATGAAGCTGTGCAGCCATCAAATGAAAGCCCAAGCAAATCTCTTTCAAATGAGAAACAGTCACGGTATGTGTTTGCAAGTGATCTTTGAGTTGTTGTTAGGCATTTTTTTGAATATCTTTTCTATTATGTAGGTTGCCTGGCACCCTCTGGAGGAGAGCATTTGATCTTGTTAGAGTTAATAATGAACATGCTTTAACACAGAAAAGGATACTTCCTGGAGAAATTTTGAATTCTTGGAACGTGAAGGCACTTAAAGAGAGATTAACTATTGGCTCTCTCTCTTATTATATAGTTCGTAACACTAAACCTGTTGGCCATCAGGTACATATAAAGAATCTTAATTGCTATCAAAATCTGTTTTGACTTTCAAACTCATGTTCATTAATTCTAATCATTGCAGGATCTTGTTGGTTTGGTCATCTCAATACTCCTCTTAGGAGATTTTAGCTTGGTCTTACTAACATTACTTCAGTTGTATTCTATCTCACTGGTGGATGTGGTTTTGGTTTTGTCTATTATTCCCATGGGCATACTTCTTCCTTTTCCAGTAGGAATTAATGCTTTATTTAGTCATGGACCTAGGCGTTCAGCAGGTCTTGCTCGAGTTTATGCACAATGGAATATCATCTCAATTATTAATGTGGTAAGTGATACCATCCCATGCTTTCCCCTTTTCTTTCCTTTTTTTTTTTTTTTTTTTGTCTGTATTATAACCTTATGTTCAATTATTTCGATTATAATCTCTATATATTAAAGCACAGTTGAGTCAGTAATTGGGATGGTGTACCATTCTAGTATTTACATGTATATGTAAAACTTGAAGATACACAATATAGTTCTAAGTGATTTTCTCTCTATGAAACAAGTAATAAATATGGAGAGTTACACACTTGCTCAAGATGGAGGCCATGAAAGTGGATTCCCGAGAGTGAGTAGTTTTTCTATTTCTGATGTACCAAAAGATGTGTTAGCTGCTTTTTCTTTTGGTCAAGAAAGAGGCACCTTTTAATTCAGCCATTCAGAGTGAACGCCTTCAGTGCACTCTTACTTTTTAGAACAACAACAACAATAATAATTTGCCTTCAATTCACTTTGTTGAGTGTTGATGCCAAAAGCAAAGTGGTTTCTAAATGCCAGCTTTAAATGTTTGAATAGTCAAGAAATTTATTTAGGAGATTATAGGAGATTATATTTTCTTTTGCTCACAGAGTTGCTAGTTTATAATATTGTTTTTAAATTGAAATATACACTGCCTGCCAAAGTGGCAAGTAAGGAGGACTTTAATTTGTTTTCATAGCTAAGCCAAGCATCTGGATTCTGGAGAGTATGAATAAAGAAAATTGGGTATGGAACTGTAGATTTGCCTATTATTCTCATTCATTATTGCAACAGGTGGTGGCACTTGTTTGTGGATTTATTAATTTTGAGAGTCAATCCTCGTCATCAACTAAAAAGCTTACCGTCCAGTCCTGGAATTTTAGCAAGTAAGGAAAGGAGTTGGTATTTAAGCTAACCTTTTTGGTTGAGAGAGAGTTAGTGAGTAGGGTGATAATGTGAATGTGGGTGCAGGGATGAAACTGGATGGTGGATGCTGCCTTTGGGACTTTGTCTGATGAAAATCGCCCAAGCTAAACTGATTAACTGTCATGTGGCTAACCTCGAGATTCAAGACCGCACATTGTACAGTAATGACCCCGAAGTGTTCTGGAGCTCATGAAAGGCGGCATTCTCAATCTAATTCTGATTCTGATTCTGAAGCCAACCATATAAATTTAGAGTTAGTTGTTTGTGTTATTGTTTTGGTTATTTGTTGAGAGTTTGAGTTTGTTCTCCTGCCTAGGCTATTTTAAGTTACCCAGTCTCTCATAGAATGAATGTAAAGTAGACAAACTTGATGTGCAGAAAGAAAGAAAGAAAGCTTTTTCATACATGTAAAGTGAGTTTGTTCTCCTGCCTGGGCTATTTTAAGTTACCCAGTCTCTGATAAATGAATGTAAAGTACACAAACTTGATGTGCAGAAAGAAAGCTTTTTCATACATGTAAAGTGGTAACTTGTTTAATCATGGAGCCTCTCATTTCCTGGTGCGCTATTTATTTGTTCTCTACTCTTCACAAATGCAATTCAATTTTGTTAGCTCACTGAAGTACTTACTAATAATCACAAAGGGGAAATTAGCATTTCTAAGCCTTATATGTAGGATATTTTGAATGTTAAATGTGAGGCAAAATTTAAAGATAAGAGTGATGGATTAAATACAAAACTCCAAAAGTGAAATTAACTCGTAACTGGCAATGGAGAATGACCAATTTATGTCCTGCAATATCAACACCTATTTTGCCTTCAAAATGTAATGTAATATAACAAACTCAATAGAAGCTGAGAGTTACTAAGCCAATGCAAAGTAGACACACAAACAATGATCAAGCTTATGATGCTTTGTCCACTAGCTGTATGGGAGACAAAATGTTGGACTTGCTCGTCTCAACAATACACCCGTTCATCACCATCTCCTCCAGCATGAAGTGCGCTTTCTCCAGATGAAACATGATATCCAACTCGCACTAGTAGTAATCCACATAGGAAACAATCAACATAAGAAAGAATATATTACCATAATATACACATCATATATTGGCCATTAGCTTACCACGTTGCCAAAATGACGATCCATTGTTTCAACTAGCAGGTGAATGAATTCCAAAATTGCAAGCTCATTCTGCCAAGTGTAAGAAGATTGGAATGTTAATATATGCACTTCTTCATCATTAGCACATGACCGATCACATTCTTGAAAGTCAAGGAATACATAAGAAGATAAGATAGTCACGGTTTATATGGGTGGCACTACTAAAGACACAAAATTCCTTCCATGCCACACATAATAACAGGAATAAAAACCTTTCTTTTTCTTCTCTTCCCACAGAATGAAGATCAGAAATTGAAAGTCTAACTTATTTGACAAATGAATTTAGAAATAAGAAACAACTGTTCCCACCCAATTGGCTTTTATTTTCTTTTCTTTTCTTCTCTCCCAACAGAATGAAGATCAGAAATTTTATGCGTAGCTTATTTGACAAACGAACAAAGAAATAAGAAATATCTGCTACACCCTATGGGCATTTAAAAAAAAAAAAAAAAAAAAACAATACGCAGCATACTGAATACTCCACTTCATTGGCTGTTGATAAACCAAAAACAGATGTAAAGAGAAAGTATGCTTGACGATTATCAAGTTCTAAACCCATAAAGATATTAAAAATTAATAAAAGTGAACTTACTTCTTCATTGTCAACTCCAACCATGAAAAATAGTGACGCATATCGCCTGTAGACTATTTTGTAGTTACGATGCTCCACGAATGAACACTGCTTACAGAATCCAGGGAAAACTGAGTTGTTGAAAGTGTATAGAGAATAGAAAAAAGCGCAACACATTCAGGAGTAAAGACAGACATGGAAATCTATACTTAATAAACGTACTAAAAGAAAAACTATCATTAGAAAGTTGATTAGTAATTCAGTAGAATTGCAGCCTCTTTACTAAGCAAATCAATCAAGCCATTCATAAAGTCCTTGCCACTATCAGAGAAGGAATTATTTAGAAATTAGAACTTTAAACAAGAACCTTGTACAACCAAGCAGCAAACATGACTCAGCCTTAGAGCCATTGAGTGCCAATATATATGAAATCACCTCCAGCTTTGTGATTGTTGGTTTAAGTTTCCCAAGCGCAACATAAATTGGGTATGAAAACAATGACGCTAAATATGGGGATATAATGGAAATGTTAAGTTGAATGGTCTAATTAAGATGTGTGGAATGCCTTCTTGATCTTTATTTATTGTTTTCACAGTGGTTGAATACAGAGATTACCCAGAAATTACAAGTGTGATATTATAGTGGATAAAAATGCCGAACCCCAACTCTATCTCCCTCCTTCGAATTTATACTCACGTTTCCTCCACCTATCCACATTGTCAACTCCCCCATCTCCCCATCAAACTTTGCACACATGCTTGGTACTGAAACTGTCGTGTCTTCTGCTCATGCTGTACATCAATCCCAACAGCTCTTGGGTAACCGTTAATAGATGATCAGTCAATCTAACCAGGCTCGGTTGTTTTGTAGCCCCAAGCCCAGGCCCAAATTTCTTTTGGCATATATCCCAACAGGGCTCTATGCCCCTTTGGAAAAAAAAAAAAAAAAAATTGGGCTGGACTTGGGGCTGTGAAACCGCCAAACCTGGTTAGATTGGTAGATTGTGTATTAACGGTTACCCAACACTAGTTGGGATTGATCTATCATTGTATCACAAGTAGTCTATGCTCCTCTAGAGGCTTTAATGCCTCAAAAGCTTCAGCACTGCCAAGATATACCTCACCTTGGTGATTAATCAATTCTCCTCATTCCAATTCTAATAAGCTGGCTTTCAAGTCTCCATTTAAGTCAAGAAGTCTGATTCTTCAATCTTAAAAATCTAGTTTGTAGCAAACAACACAACATAACACGACTAAACAATACATTCTTCTAGAAATTAATATCAAGAAAATTCAATCCTAGACTTCATAATGTATATAGTCTCAATAGCTAAAAGAACAATCCATTCAAAAATCTCCCGGCCCCATATCCATATCGCAAAATTTCCATCATAAAGAGCTTCCCTGAGCTATATTTGCAAAGCTCTATACAAATCAACAATAACTAACATATAGGGTGTAATGAAGGCCAGGATCCTAATTCAGAACAAAATCAACCTTTCTCAACAATTAAACAATGTAGAAGAGAAGAGATCGGTCCGGGTAGAGATTACGTACCTGTTGCTCATTCCGCGCGAGACACTTGCGAACGATTTCGCCCTCAAGCGCACGCCTTTCTTCGATGGTGAGGTACTCGTAGTACTGGGCTAGCCGAGTCTGCCCTTGCTTGTTCACCATTAGTATGAATCTGATCCCCATCTCCTTCTTCCTTCCTTTCTCTCAACGCGATCTCCCCGATTCACCACCCCTTCACTCGCTCGGTTCGGCTATCAAATATTATATACTCCGTATATATATATATATGATCGATCGTATACTCGTATCGAGAAGGTCGAAAATCACGAGTTTGAACAACGTTGGTAAATTCAATCCTACTTCAGCTGGGAGCTAGACGATTCTGCAGCCTCCTATGAGGCTATGATGTATTTGTCTATTTGTCAAAAAACCAAAAATATATTTTTAATATAAATTTTAAAATAATTAAATAGAGTAAGGAATAAGGTTGAAATTGGTCCGCGAACGTAACGTGAAAATAAAATTAGGTCACTGAACGAAAAAAAAAAAAAAAAAAAAAAAAAAAAAAAAAAAAGTGCAATTAAGTCACTGAACACTTAAAAAACGTGCAATTAGGTTACTGAACACTCCAAATATATGCAATTTCACCGGATAGCAGATTATCATCAATTTTTCGCTTAGTGGCCTAATTGCATTTTCAGATTAGGGAATTTTAACCTTATTCCATAGAGTTATTATCATTTGAGGTCCTCCGAGTATAGTGGTTTTGTCACGTTTAGTCCTAAACTTTCAAATTGACAGTCGTTCGACTTTCAAATTTAATCATTCGTGATCCAAGTTGACCACTCATGGTCATCCAACTTTCGAAATTTAACCAACCATGGTCCTTTCAAGAGGATCACGGATGGTTAAGTTTCAAAAGTCGAATGACCATGGGTGGTTAACTTGGACCATGAATGGTTAAATTTGAAAGTCGAAGGACCACAAATGGTCAATTTGAAAATTTAGGACTAAACGTGACAAAAACCATTATACTCAAAGGATCCCATGTGGCGTTAAGTCTAATTAAATAATAATTACGAAGTACCTTTGAATTTATATAGGAGTAAATGAGTAATAATATATAACACGAAATTGATAGGGTGTATTTAATCGTGACCACTTTATAAGTTTGGTGGTATTTAATTTAGATTCTTAGCATATCTAATGCATACTACATCAATTTGAAGTGATTCAAAATTATGGCCCTGTTTGGTAACATTATCAGTTAATTTTAGATTGTTTGATCATTATTAATTGTTTGACTTGGTTAAACAGCAAATATGAGTGTTTGGTTAATTAGTTTTTTTTTTTTTTTTTTTTTTTGTAATAGGTTATTGCTTCAAAATGCTACAATTTAAAAAGTTGCTCAAATTAATTTTTTTTTATTAGCTTTTTGAGAAAATAAATTATATTCTTGAAGGTCATTTTGCATGTAATATGTTATAAGTTAACAACTAATTTACCAAACATCTTTCTACAATCAGCTAATGCTATCAGCTAGTCAAACTCGCTAACTCAATTCGCTAACAACTATCAGATAAGTCAATCTTCTATCAACTAACAGCTATTTTCCAAACACCCTGATGTGGTAAATATGATGGTTCTCGCAAATACGTACAAATATGGTGGTCGAATCGTAGGTGGATCTTTCTCTAGTCTACTTGTTGATTTAAGACTTAAGCTCGGTAATGACGCAAGGCCATAAGTTCCCGAGCTAAATGAGGCTAAAAATAGAAGTGTCTAAAAGTCTTTCCCACTAGCATTTAATGCGGTATTTATAGGAGGTTAAAGGGGCACATGTTGGTATCTCGGCATGCGCGACACATGGTGCCTATGCACACGGGCAGGTCAAAAGTCATGATGATTCCTCCACGTGTACTAAGATTACTGACTTCCTCATTCTTGCGGCCATCGGGTTCGAACATAGGAATGCCGCCAAAGGCCTAAGTAGAGAGAGTCTGGTGGCACCTACCGACCTAAGCTTGTCGGGGCGAATCTGAAAGGTGGTCAAATATTGGTATTGACCTTACCTTGCTGAGTATTATTATTTCAGTCGGGGCGTCGGTAATGCTTGAGAATGGTCCTTCCTCTTGATCCGATCGGATACTGAGCATATACACATAAAGAAAGAGGAAGTATACCCAAGAATCGAAGTATTCCCTATCAACCCCTATATTTTAAGCTAAGAGATTCAATTATAATTTTCAGATTA